AATCAAACAGGCGCTCACACAATCGGGCAAGCAAGATGTGTCAGCTTCCGGGCCCACATATACAACGACAGCAATGTGGACACGACGTTTGCGAATAGCCTAAAGTCCATATGCCCGTCAGCCTCCGGATCGAATGACAACAACCTGGCGCCGTTAGATGCCGGGAGCTCCACGATATTCGACAATCACTATTACGTTGACCTCTTTTACAACAAGGGGCTCCTTCACTCGGACCAAGAATTGTACAACGGTAACTCGAGCACCGCTAAACATGTTGTCACCTACCTTCATAATACCACTGCGTTTGCCATGGATTTCGCAAAGGCGATGGTCAAAATGGGGAATATGAATCCGTTGACCGGATCGAATGGAGAGATCAGGAAAAACTGCAGGAGGGTGAATAATGACTAATAATGTTATTTTTGTTGTGGTTGTTATAATAATGATATNTCCCTTTCGTTTAGTTTGTTGTGTGTTGTTGCAACAATGTATTGCCATAACTATGGGATTTCGTAATTTGTATTTGCATCATGAATGAAATTATATTGTGTTACCTGTTTTAAGCATGGAGTTTGGACATTCTTGGTGTAAACAGCTTTTTCGGATATTTATTTTGCTGAGAATTTAAATATTTTGGGCTCTTGGCCAATTTATTAGAGTATATGTATGTAATGGGCCAAAATCATGACATAGTTAAACCGTTTATATGTCTCTTTTAAGAAAAATACGTCTTATACTCACAATTTTTTTTTTCATTTTTATTTTAAATTTCATTATAAAAATCCGCAATGCCCTACCTATTATTTTTCAAGCACTTTTATACAATCAACTAATACTAATGCAACACATTTTCAGTTAAAAGACATTTTGCATTAAAAAATAAAAATGAAAACCATTTTTTTTTTTAATTTTAAAAAGTGAAACTCGTTTTTGAAAATTATAATAATGTACATGGTGAAGAACCAATGCCAATCTTGAGCCTTTTCAATGCCTAATCTCGGGCCTTTTCAATGTAAGTTTGGGCCCATAGTAATTCCTAGAGATTTTAAACGGACTAGTTCTAGCGGGCTGCGGGATAAACAGTCCGGACCTCAAATACTCGGATTTAAACAGGTTACCAATAAAGGGACATAACCTTAATCTTAGAGGGCCTCAGGCTAAACGGGTTATACGGCCTATAATAATAATAATAATAATAATAATAATAATAATAATAATAATAATAATAATAATAATAATAAAAAGATTACAACGGCTAGTTAACGATTTTTTTTCAACGGGTATTTAGTATTTACCGCTCTATATATACAACTACACTTCATATATAAACACACATTACAAACTCTTAAATAACATATTTTTCCTTCAAAAAAAAATGTTTAAACTATTACTTATAATTACTATTTTACTACATATTTGATAAACTTTAGGAATTTTCACGATATTGTATTATGCTGATATGTGTTAGGTATTTGTCTCATGTGCTTCCTATTAGCAGTTTTGATTGGTATTAAATATTTTAGTGTGGAGTAGAATAACTAAAATGTTAATAATTATCTTTCAAAATCATAATAATCCGTTACAGCTTATATTTACATGTGAAGTAGAACAACAAAATTGTAATATACAAGGAATCTTAGGGCATATTCTTTACATGCTGCAAACATTTACATGTCCAACCCAAATTAATCGGGGTAGTCCTAGCGGGATTCGGGCTAAATGGTCTGGGCCTAAAAAACTCAAATTTAAATGGGTTACCAATAAAAGATCTTAACCCTAATTTTTTTCGGGCTAAACGGGCTGACCCATTGGGCCAAGTGCCGTTAAACAACTCTATTACTAATTCCATAGCTGCAGCATTTAGATTAAAATCTTGCAAGGGAAAACTCCATGATACCGAATGTCGCAAAACTCCAAGATTAGAAATCGTTGTTGTGTCAATTTTTTTTAATGATTTAAAAGAAAAATTGGAAGGAATAACCAAATGTCGCGAGTCGCGGGTCTTGAAGTGCTTGGGACTCTGTTCATGTCAAACGACAAATTCGCGCAACATAGATATGAAGAAATAGATATCAAATCACAGTATCAGACTTTCTAATTTTGTATATATATATGGCTCAAACATTCCAAACACCTCACAAAATCTTTAGGTCGGAGGCAGACGCCATAAACGAGCCCTTCTGCTTACAACACTGCTAAATACTGTAGCCCTCACCCAAAACATAACAGGGGGCAATGAAAATAACCTAAAAATAAAAATCTCATTCTATAACTCTCACAAGAATTAAATTTTCAAAATAATTATAATAATAAACTTAAAATAAAATAATGAACGAGTAATCGAGCGGAAAATAACTTCAACTTATTTATTCCTATCTAGCTCGGTCCAGGTCTTGATCTTTCTCTGGGTTGCCGGGTCCACCTGTTCCCCTCGATCCAGGGATGGTGTGGGCCCATTATTCTTGTGTCATTTTTCTAGATTGGTCTGTTTTTTGCCATTTTCTAGATCATCTCTTGAACCACATAGCAATCCTGTAATCCTGCATCACTAGGGCGCAGTTCAATATAGTGTGTGCTTGACAAAGTTGTGAGTTCAACATCAATCGTTCTACTCCCAGCCTGGTAAACAAAACATTTAAGTTTGTGCTCAAATGATCAAACAACACAACAAACTTGTGGTTCTAAAATGACATTAACCAACAATTATGTCATAAAAAGATTGCAAGCAGAGAACTCACATCAATTTTCCAGTTCTTGTTTTCCATTTTCACCTGCAAAGTAATATTTACAGAGCCACATCAGAACAACCTCATTCAGTTTATGAACTCCATATCCAAATTTACATTTTTCATTCATCATCAATGAAACTGAAGATTGATTCACATTTCTTATACATAGTTTAGTTTTTATTTTTTATTTTTTCATTTACTTCGCTATTCCCTTTTCATTTTAGATTCAACGGATAAAGTAGTAGTTGATTTGGGAGCTAAATACATAAAATAAAATTCGAATTTCCATTGAACTTATAAAATTGTAAAGATCATCTTTTTATGTATTTGTTTTTTGTAGACAAGCTGTAAACAAATGTTTCAGCTGTAACACCTTGCTCGACAATTCACAGAAAATTTGTCTACCTCCCATATTACAAACTATCAAACAAAACCTTAAAACAAAAAATGAATAAAACTAAAATCAGAAGCTAGCTAGCAATCTCTCACCTTTTCGACGTTGGGACAAAAAATTTGCCTAAGACGAGCCATTATTAGGGTTTTCTCAACCGAGCCAGACGGCCCGTAGAACAGCAATTGTGGACAATCTTGCTCCGTCACCTACACAATACAACGCCAAAACAAAATCAAAGAACAAAAACAGAACAAATTTCATATCCATTCACCTCAAACCATAGAAAGAAGCGTTTGAAAGAACACGAACCCGCCAAGCAACAGAACGTTGTGCGGTAGATAGAGGCAGAAGTCAGAAAAGTGTTATCAATTACGAGGGTACTAAAAAGATCTAAAAAGTGTTCCGTGATTGAAGATTGAATTGTAGTCTGTGTATGAAATCGCTCGAACGAAGTGAGAGGAGTTTTATAGATTGCTGGGAGAGGATGGGAAGTATTATGTCTGGTTCACTAGGTTCTACCACTGCAGGGCTCAAGAGTCTGAGTAATT